GCATGACCACATTTTTCTCAGAGCCAAGTATAAAAACACAAAGCAAACTATTGACAAGTCTACTTCATGTTGTTCTCAGATCTTATTAAGGCCCAGCCTTTCCTCCAGCTCCTAGTCTGTGTTTCTCCTTTGGTACTATTGATGGCCGAAGTAAGTTCAAATGGATCTTTGGGCCACCCCGGTCGGGTGGCCAATGGTGGTACCGGCGTCCGGCTGGTGACCGGACAGGTGTTGCTGGAACTTTAAAAAAAATTCGTCAGGGGCCGCCACTCAATCAAAAATTGGGCGGCTGGGCTCCCGAAAGTTACCTAAATATTACGTGGGACAACTCAAAAGAAAACAGGGTGTGCGTGCGGGGTCAAAGGTTCAAAACAAGTGCTTGGTACCTTATCTTCCGTCCAGTTCCCACCCTGCCTCATCTCCAGTTTCCTGGTTCCCAGCATGGATTTTTTGCTTACCCTTTGTGCTTCAATTCTGGCCCAGTCCTTTGTCAACAGCCCATTTCTAACCATTACTCCAGACTACTCACATCTGGCTTACAACACATGCATGGTGTAATAATAACATGTCTTTCCCCTGAGGCAAAGGATGTGTACGTGAAAGACAACAGGTACTGGATACTGTGGTGATACACAGGAGCAAGAAATGAACCAGGGAACTGGGTGGGTAGCTGGCAGGTGGGCAGTCTTCCCACAGCTAGCACTTACTGTTTCTTATAACAGTTCCTACCGTTTTGCCATTTCTTCCTGCTTCTGGGTAATTTCAGCCAGCATATCACTTGTAGAAGGCAGTTCATTCAACCCTAAGAAAAAAACAAAAGCCCAATTCTGAAAGATGTTCAAGGTAGTGCTTTCAAACACAGAGCTGAGGACTCCAGAGCAACCAGAAGAACAGAGAAAATAGCCCTAGGGAAGAAGTCTTTTTGCTCTCTATCCTGGCTCATATTTTGCTCCAAGTGAAACCCCACAGAGTGGAGGCTCTGGAATCCTCATAAAAACCTCATGATGACGGGACACTCTAGTCAGGAAAGGTGTTGGACTTCAAAACTTAGGGGAGCAAAGAAGGGGGGCAAGAGCCAAGGTACAAACAGAGTAAGAGAGAGACTCTAGCAGAAGAGAGAGGGATGGGGGAGGGTGGGGTGGGGTTGGGGAGAGAGTGAGAGCAAGCAGGAGCAAGAGAGAGCAAGCCAAGAAGAGCCTGTAGACAAACCAAAAGCAGAGCTGATAATGGCCTTTGTAAGGGAAATTAAATGTTTCACTGAGAGATTCTAAAACAAAGCATGCAGGCCCTTAGGCATCCTATAAAAGGAAGACAACACAGTACAAGCAAATCCCCGTTAAGCTGAAAGGTGTCAGGTGACACAGGAAAGAATAACAGCAAAGTTGAGGGATGGTGATGTTTTGGGGCTTTCTTTAGTACTGAAATACCTGGGTTTTTTTTACCTAGAGGCTGCTAATCTATTCCCTTGGGATTATGGCTCACATACCCTTGAACACACGTGTGGCCCAGCGACCCTGAAGCTCTGAGATAGGCATGAGGGCCCCCAGTGGCTGGACGAAGCCAATGAAAGCCAACGTTGGCTTTTCCAGGTGAGGCGGAAAGACAAGCTTGTACAGGGAGACCTGGTTATCAACCACTTTGAGGCAGTCAAGAAATGGGAAGGAGAACTTGTATCCTGTAGCGAAGATAACCACATCGATGTTGTCTTCTCTGGTGCCATCCTCAAAGATGGCACCAGTTTCAGTGAACTCGCTCACATTTGATTTCACCTGCACTTTGCCAGCGATGATGCGGTTTGGCAGATCATCGTTGATGGTTGAATGCTGGCAGAAAAACCTGAATGGCATAGAAAGGGGTACAGAAATGTCCAGATTGGTTTGTGCAAGAAGTGACATGGCTCAGGCCTGGAGGCTGTCAGGAGAGAAGAAAACTCCCTCCTCCCTCCTTTGCATGGACCAGCACGTCATGGGAATGCCCCAAAAGATCATCCAGTCCACCTTGCTGCATGGCCAGTGTCTCTTCACACATGGCATTTCCTACAGTTTCTTTCAGTCTAGTTTTTAGACCATCTGGGTTTCTACCACTTCTCTGGGTAAGTTCTTTGGGACCATCTGTTTATCCTATGCTTGCATAATACTTAGCACCTAGGGATCTGACCAGGTGTGTTAGGCACTATGTGAATACAAATAATGCAATGTGAATAAATAACCATGCAAGAACACAAAGCCATTACACTCCAATTAACTGCATGCTGGTCCCGCAGCTCAACTTCTTCCTACCTCTTAAAGCTCTACACAGAATTGCTCCTGTTGGATCAGGAGAGAACTTGAAAAAACACTTTATTATATTTCCTGATATGCTATTTCCAAATGCAGTCTCTGACTATGGATAGAGGGAGATTTTAACTGCTGCAAAAGGGGAGAGGGTGCTGCCTCTGGAGCACAGATTAGCTATTAGGCTGTAATTGTTGCCTCTGAATGCCCCCATAGCCACAAGAATTAGCTAAGTCAGGGCTGTTTCACTTCTAAGAGGCCAGGGGCTGCATGCCCCTCAGGCTATCTAGCAGGGGCCACACCAGCAGAGGCCATGGATCCCGAGAGTTGCACACTCCCCTCTGCTGCACCATGTGCCCAGCTGGCCCCTGCAACCCCCTGCAGCTGTTCCTTATACCTCCCATTGAACTAAGGGCCCAGGTACTCCTCTTCCACTGCAAACAGTGCCCTCTGCTGCACCATGTACCACCCCACTGTTGCTCCTCATGCCTCCCTGCTGCACCACATGCCCAGGCACTCTGATTCAGCCTTAGTTCCCTGGCCCTGAGCTCCCTTGCTACACTGTGTCACTCAGGCACTGTGGATGCCAAGCTCTTCTGCACTGCAGGCTGCGCTGCTTTGTACCACCCCATCCCACAGGGCAGGGGAAGCCAGAGGGAAGGAGAGCCTAGAACCCCCACCTGTTGCTTCAGCTGGGACAGTGTGAGGGGCCTAGGCCCAGTGGAAGTCCGGGGCCACAATTTAACAAGTCGCAGGCTGTGTGGCTCAAAAGCCAGCAGTTGGGCAGCCATAAGTGTATGGCTGTAAATTTAATCCTGAATGAAACAGCAGGAGTTTTGCTACATTAGTATAGCTGCAGGAGCATGCAGGCATACATTGTACAGTTACCCATCAACCAGATGTTTTCATGTCTGCACAGAAGTCAGTCCCAGTTACTGCAGCTACTCAGTGTTCAACTGTATTGTTTAAGAGCTCACCTCTGCAAGTTCTTCCCAATATCCAGCTTAAATGATCCCTTTTTTATTGCCATCCCAGAACTACTCTGTCTATTCCCACGTATCCTGCTAAGTCACTCTGCTTCGCATTTACAATGGGCAGGGGTGTTTGAAAGAGTGGAAAGGCTGTTGTTTTGTGTATTGAATGGGGAAGAGGATACGTGCTCCAGGAAAGGCCAGTTACAAGACTGACAAGTGCTGTGAGATCTGGCAGAGTAGCAAGAGGGACAGCTGCACCCAGGCAACAGAAAACAAATCTGTTGACAGCAATGGGACTGATATTCATGCCCTGGGGCTGTAGTTTGAGTGGTCAGAGACCTTACATTCTGTCCTGGTGCTCATTGCTCTATACTCCCTTTTGGTCTTCAACATATCCCAGATTTCCCTGCTTCCATAGGGTCCATTTAAAGGGAGGTGATCCAGGCTTGCTGGACACTTTACATATGTTTACAAAGAATTCCAGGAAGATGCCCCTTCCTTCCTAGCTCCCACAAGGAAGTCACCTGGACTCCATAGCTCACCTGTGCTTAGGCTGCAGGCCATAGAGGGCATGGTTGAAAGCTTTATTCAGTTTCCGCTCTGCAAAGTAGTTCATCATAGTGAAAGGCATAGTGTCCAAGAGAAGCTTCATGAAGCGAGTGATATAAGCTGCATCCGTGGGGTACCCTTCTTCCAAGATCCGCCTCTGTACCCATGCACCCCGCCTGGTGCTAAGAAAGACCTGAAGGAGGTAACAGCAGAAGAACCACTGAGAACCAACAGGACATTAAGTGACTTTCTGATAGAGTCTTTGGGTGAGAAATGTTCTGCTGGCAGCAAGGAGTTCAAAGATATCTGCATTTCATTATAATTCCCTAGCTTGGGGCTTTTAAATTCATTAAAGAGCAGAGACATTTAAGCATCTTCATTGTACCCACAGGCTTCCCTGGCCCAAAAAACAGACACTAGGTGCAGACACACAGAAGAGGAGGCTTGAGGAAACAATAAGGTGAAGCTGGTTGACATGTTGAGCACTGCCCAGATGTTTCTGAGGCTTTTGCAAGGATCACAGCAAAGGAAAGCTTTAAGGAAGGATCTGAAGCAGGACAAAGATGGGCCTTGTTGCTAGTCATGGGGAACTTGTCCATCATATGAAAGACCCACATGGGAAGAAACACCCAGGAGCGTGTTCAACAGTTTTGTAAGTGGGCATTAATGCTGAAATCAGGGACAGAACAGAGGTGGGCATTGACATCTTGAGAGCCATGGGATGATAAGCAGGTCACTCATGGGGTGAGTGACTCATGAGGTCCATCATATGGGGTGTGTGACCATGATAAGCTGGTCACTCACCCAGTTGCTTTATCTAAGCCAGTCCACTCTATATGCAGGGTTTCCAACAGGTTGCAAATACAGAGGTTGCCCCATTATTTTACATGGGGCAACCTCATCCTCACAATAAATGAAACAAAGAAACAACCTCCAAAACCTGATGTCTTCTTTCAGCCTTTGAGAGGAATGACCTAGGTTCTGTGGTTTTTCCTCAGCACCACAGTCTCCTTTCTCCCTTGTCTTCCACTCCTGGAGTTTTTAAGCCTCCCTTATCCACTAGTCATCTACTGCAGCTTACTCCCAGCCTTCTAGCCAGGCAGACTATTAACTGCTAAACTTCTGTAACTGGATTTCATCTCCCTGAAGGCTGAGCAGTGAGCAGCTCCTTACAGCATGTCTACACCTAATCCTCAGCATTCCTAACAAAGGACATTCTTGACCATGACCTATCTACTACCCACTTGCTTATGCCAACCCCAATAGTGTGGTGGTGAAGCCAATCCAGGTATGCTCCTGGCAACTACTCTCAAGACTTCCATCTCCAATGTGACTAGAAGATGCTGCAGGGGATGTTTCTAGAGCGGCTTCACTGTTGCATGTACAGGCCTGGTACATGCAGGAAGAAATGGATGTGCAGGCTGTCCTCAAGAAAATCCCTCCCAGGGAGCATGGGGGATACACAAAAGAGAGGGCTACTATGGTCTTGCAATAAAATTTGCTACCATTTTAAAAGAACATACCTAGTTCTGGCCTTCAGATCTCTGTGCAAAACCTCATGCAATGCAGTTAACTCTTATCAGTAAAGCACAGACCTTACTGAAGCCTGTGGGCAGGCAGGAAAGAACTCAGCTACTGGAGAGGAGTCCTCTCCCTCCATGCAAAAGGTTATGGATAAATCAACAGCACTTCTATGGCATCAGAGATGGATGGTTGTTGCTTGGTGCCAGAAGCAGATAATTAGCCCATGAAATAAATTAATAATAATTTCCACACTATGCCATGGCCTATGCCTAGACTAATTTAACAAACTTTGTGAGGCTCTGAATCCATTTCACCACAATCCTTCCAACCAGCTGTGTCAGACAGCCATGGTCCAAGCAACAGGTCTAGCAGTGTTTTGTTTTATTTTCACCCATTTTTCTACACAAACCTGATCCTGCATACAAGCAGGGACTTGCAAACAAATGCCAAAGTGCCTGTGGAAATACAAGTCTGGTGCCTGCTACGTATGTGCCAATATAGGCATTCCTTGTACAAGGGTTTGGTTTGAATAACACCTTCTTTGTTTCTATAAAGCCATTCTTGCTCACCTCATGGAGCAGTTTCAAAGGGCAGGGCCACATTCTCTACTGCACTGAGATCTGCTTATCACAGGCAATGAGACTATCAGGAAGCTCCCCCAACCATCATCCTAATCTAAATTAAAGCTTCTTAATTCACATGCTGGTCGCAGAGCTAACAGGCAACATCAGTTGGAAACTTGCAGAACAGATCTGTGCTGCAACATGCTCTGCTGTATGAGATGGGAAGGAAGCAGCTGGCATAGGAGCTGGCTCCACAGAGCTGCCCTCCCCTCTGGCATTCCCATCCCTCTGGCTGCAGTCATCATGACATGGCAAAGAGAATATGCTCATTTGAAACTGGATCTTAGGAGATGGTGTTACAGGATAGGAGATGTTAACAAATGTGGTGGGGTGGGAAAGATGAAGTCAGACAGGAACAGGTGTGGACACGGGCTCCTGAACAGATCAAGGGAATGGAGAGCTTATGTTAGAGGAGACTGCAAGAGCTTGGCTTGTTTAGCCTAGCAAAAGGAAGGCTACAAGGGAATAGAACTGCTGCCTATAAATACTGCTGGGGATAAACACCAGGGAGGGAGAAGAGCTGCTTAAGCAAAATCACCATGTAGCACAAAAACAAATATGTCTAAAATAGCTTAGAGTAAATTTGGGCTGTAAATAAGAATATGGTCTCTACCCATTAGGACAGTGAGTTTCTGGAGCAGCCTCACAAAAGGGGCACTGGGGCAAAAACCCCTACTTACTTATAAGGCAGATCTTGATAAGTATATAAAGTGGATTATGTGACCTGGTGGCCTGTGATAGCAGAGGACTGGATTCAGTGACCCAGGAGGTCCCTTCCCAGCCTATGTTCTGATAAATTATTGAACAAAGATGTAAAGAACAGCAGTCACTGGGTGAACAGTGACCTTCTCCCTAAAACGTGGTCCAGATGACCTGTCTGGAGTGCAGAGTGTTTTGGGAAGAGAAGAGGGGACAGCAACAGTTGGCTGCTCGTCCTGGAGGGTGGAAGAAGAGCCAAATGAATGAAGGGGAAAAAATAAAGAGTGGGTTCAGAGGGGGAAGCAATGAACATCTCACAGAGCATGAGGGTTTCTTTTGGAGATCATGCAGAGAGGTGGTATTGGCCACAGAATTTCTGTTTGCCATGGTTAAAAGAGAAGGCTAGGAGTTCTGTCAAGCTCAGAGTCAGCAGTATGGTAAGTCAATGTGGTGCAGGGCCTCCAAAACACCAGAAAGAGCTGCTGGCAGTTCCCAGCATTCACATGTAGCAAAACACTGGAAAGTATTGTATTAGCCTGCAGGAAGCACTGGTGTTGAATAGGGTGTGCACACAAGAAGAGAAAGGTTGTAACACTTAATCTGAATTCCCTGTACTTTTCAGGAAGGGGCTCAGGTGATGAGGGATAATATGAACCAGACCTGGGAAAAGCCCTCCAGCCTTAGTGCCGTTGGAGACTGTGTACTAGGTGGGGAACAACAGTAGATTCACCCAGCCCTGTTCACTCAAAAGGGAGTTTTAGTTTTAATCCCTGGTACTAACTGTTTTTTTGCTTGTAACGCAGTGACTGTACGTCCTAATGCAGCATTCCCTCCCAGGGTGAACTGCAAGCCTGATGTGTTTCAACAGGGCCCATAAATTAAGCCAACCAAGTGTGAACTTGTGACAGTACAAAGGGGAAATCTGAATTGCTGGGCTGGGCTTTCCTATTCTCCTCATCTCTGCTTTTGGCAGGGGGCAGTCTGCCTCTGTTCCACAGCAATTAATGGGGACTCCTCTGAGGGGCAGGGATCAAACAATGAAAGGGGTAAGATCTTCCTCTTCCAAGCCTGCTAGATGAGCTGGAGAGGCCCTGAGCATGATGACACACTGGATGCAAGATATAAATTTGAAAGGGGCAGAGTACCAGAGTGCTGAGTTAGTGACAGTCATGCAACAATGTGTCTCACTATTCTGAATGTATAGGGGTTAAAGGTGATGGGGGACTTAATTCCCTGGAACAGACCTGATCTGCCGTGTAACTGAGCTCCACAGCTATGTCCAGTCCTGAATTCCCAATGCCAATCACGATCACTTTCTTGTCCAAGAACTCTTGGGAGTTCTTGTAATCCCGACTATGGAAGTAGCGACCTTTGAACTTCTCAATACCTGCAGGAAAGAGCAGAGCAGCTGTGGCCATGCATCTGGCTGTGCGTTGCTGTGGGTCCTGAGATTCAAAGGCAGAGGGGGTGTTACAAGGGTCTCCAGCATTCTTTCAGACCAAGGCCAGGAGACACCCACACACAAGCGGGAGAAAACAAAAAAAATTCAGTGGTCCATGTCCCTGGCATTTGTCATGTCATCATCTGGTTTGTTCTTCTGCTGATCATAGAGTTCCCTAGGACTAAACAATCCCAGCCCCACCTAGATTTCCAGTGTAAAGGGCAGGCAGGAAAAGAGAAAGCCACACTTACAAGCTTATTAAGCCTGCCCTGTACAAAAGGATACACAGAGGGGAAAGTTAAGGCTTTTCTCCTCACCTCATCCTATTTCTGGGTTGCAACATTTTATACACAAGGAAGGTGACCTGTTGATGAGAGCTGGTGTTAACAGAACACCCTGACCTGGTGCTGAAGATAGTTTAACAGCCAAAGGCCATGTGGAAGTGTGGCTGTGCTACATGCCTGCATAACAGCAGCTGAGAAGATACAGGGACACAGGATTTAATATCTGCTAGTAGCAACCACAGTACTTACCCTGGGTCACTGGAAAGTTTGGGCCCTGGTTTGCTACACCTTCAATGCCTGCTGTTATCCCTGCCAGCTAGATGAAGATAGTATAGGTAAGCCAGCACATACCCCAATTACACCTTTATTTTATTAAGAGAACATGCCGTGTAGTTGAGCTCCCCACTCCCACACTGCTCCCATCTCAGGTACAGCACGAAGCAGTGGCTTTATAAACAGCATTATCAATGGTACCTAGGGTTAAGCCAGTCCTAACTGAATGCTTTGGAAAGTCTAGACATCCAAGACAAGGAGCCTCTGCTGATATGTCACCTCCTCCATCATGTAACTCCTCTAGACCTGGGCCTTATGAGGGGAACGATACTCTGGGATCAAAACATAGTGTATAAAGAGGCAGAGAGCCACAAGGGAGTGTTTTATTGCACTCTACAACATACCTGGAAAGGACTGCAGTGGTAAATGGGCGTCAGAATGGTGACCACTACAAACTAGGACTGCATCAAAGATGGCCAACTCCTGCTTCCCATTGGTCTCTGTAACAACGTCCCACTGGCCCGTGGTAGAGAAATCTGGGCGCTTTATCACAGAGCAAACGTTGGTCTGAACAAAAAAGACAGGCATCAGGGCATTTCATCCTCTCTCTTGGAAATGAGCCCCCAGAAAGAGCCTCCTACCTCCGCTCCCTATCACACTTACCATCTCCTCCAAATAACATAAGTCCCTAGCATACCTCAGATCCCTAGCATCAGGCCCCGTGAGGTCCCTGTCAGCCTTTACATTGCTGACATATCCATTCCTGCAAGCTCCCACTGAGAACCAGGCAGCAGCAGCTTCTGGGAGCTGGGCTGTGGCTTCATCTCAGGTGGGCCCCAGCTGAAGGGAGGTCAAAATACAGTTCTTTCACTTGGTCAGGGGTCCTCAAAGGACAGCACGGTGTCCTGCCAGGCTCTGACCACTTAGGGCTGCTGTTGAATGCAACTGGAACAGGAGAAAGGCTGTTTCTGGGGCCTCTGAAATATGACCATGATCTTTCACTACTTAACGAGGGCATCAAGTTTCATTGATGGCAAGATTCTTCCATGCAGGACCTGCTCACCCGATCACATATCCATGTCGCTGGGCGCACACATATGCAGACACATGCACAGGCCAGCACAGTGTTCCCATCCTCCCCACAGGCACCCTCTCGCCATGTCAGCTCTCCCCTCACCTTGAAGCGGATGTACTTAAGAAGGTTGAAGTGCTTAGCATACATGTGGAAATACTCCATAATTTTGAAGTTGTGCATGTAGTTGGGAAAATCCTCCGGGATGGGGAAGTCACTGAAGCACATAATTTCCTTGGAGGTGTTGATAATGACTGATTTGTAGATACTGGCCCTGCCCTCTTCAGGATTTTTCTGCAGGGAAAAAGAGAATTGTTATAGAATTGCAGAGTTGAGAATATCATCTAGTATCATATACTCTCACTCTCTAAAATAACAAACTACTTTTGCAGAGGATGGGTTTGGAATCTACAACTTCTGCCTTTCAAAGCAAATGTAGCAAATTTCTGGGTTCATGGCCAACAAAGTAGAGCTCTTGATCAGCGATTCTCATCCTCGGCTGTTGTGGGATTTCTTCAAGAGTTCCACAGGGCCTGGTCCCTCTGTGAGGAGATAAGTGCTTGCTCCCAAAGTGGCCTCAGTGGGGTATTTCTGGGTTGGGAACATATATATGGGAGAGGGAGGCTTGTTCAGGAACCACCTGGCTGGGACACTGCTTCTATCCTACAGTTTGGTGGTTAGGACATTCTGGTGAGAAGCACGAGATGTGGGGTTGTGAATCCCCTCAGGCTGAGAAGGGGCTAGAACCCAGGCCCAAGGGAACTCTACTATCCAAACCAGAGGGGTCGAATGAGCTTTGTGGCTGCTGGAGCAGAACTACTCTGGATCACCTAAATTCCACCTCAGTCCCAGTTAGGCACCTAGTTGATCAGACGGAGGTTGCTGCAGCTGGGAGAAGCTAGACAACCTTTGTGGGCTGAACTGGGAGAAGCCACACTGTTTTCTTTTAATTTCTTTTGTTGAGAGAAGTGGGCAAAGGGTCCCAACTTGTGTTAAAGGAAAATGCCGGATAAAGGGCCTGCTTGTTTTGAACCCTGAAAGAGGTGTGGCTGTGACTCTCACTAAACCAGCTGATTGAAGTCATCCTGCTTAAGGCAGGATCATTCCTATGTAAACCAACCTATATGTCTACCACTCTTAGAAGTGCATGAAAAACCTTGTCACACAACTACCAGGCACAATGCCCCAAAGCTCCAAGGACACCATACTTTGCCACAGGTAAAGCAGGGGGATGAGGACATGGTCAATGTCCTGCCATTGCTGTTTATTCAAATATACTCATGAGATCTCAGGGAGAAGACCATGCTTCCTGCAGCAGAGACCAGACTTACCTTACTGTTCCCCCTTTGTTTTTTGTCATTCAGCCATGAACAACATCTCCAAGCCAGCTCTTCTGGATACAAGAGCCTCTAGGATCTTTATGGACTTTGCATTTGCCTCCCAGCACCAGATTCCAATCAGGTCTACATGCACCCCAAATGTAGTGGAGTCAGTGGATGGGTCTACCTTCCCCGCAGAACCCACCTAAGTAGCCCCACTGGAAGTGTGGATCAGAGGGCACAGGAATTTCTCTGCTTCAACCTGATCCATTTTCCCTACTTTCCAATTTTCTTGGGAACCCCATGGCTTCCCCTCCACAACCCTGATATTCTGTGGGGGCAGAGGGAATTCCAATTTCTTTCTACTTTAGTGCAACTGGATGTGTTTCCATGGGAGACCCCAGATCACAGCTCAGATCATGCAGGGAGCCAGAGCACCCGACACCATCTGCAGGAGGAACAAGGCCTACACACCCAAAGATTGCCAGTCTGCCAGCCAATGGCTCATCTATCCCTGCAAAATACTGAGATCTGGATGATGTATTTGATAAGAAGGGGTGAACCAGCTTCCTCCACATCATCCATACGATTGCCTCACTGACATCTTACCAGGTGTACAGATTCTGTGTCTGAGCCTGAACTCAAGGCTCTAAAACAGTGGTCACCAACCAGTGGATCTCGATACACCAGTAGATCTTGGAGCCCCTTGTGGTAGATCTTGGAGCCTCTTGGAGTTGATCTGAGGGTGGGGTGGGGGGGCTGAGTGCCTGCTTGCATGCACACACGCACCTCCCAGCCCAGCAGGTCAGTCTGTGGGGAAGGGAAGGGGCGGGGGCTAGATCGAGGTCTCCGCAGTGAGGGACAGTGCTGCAGAGGCAGGAGCAGGGGTAAGATAAGTGGGGACCAGCCAGGTGGGACTTACCTGTTCGGGAGGTGTGCCCCCAAATAATTTTTTCTCTATCTGCACCCCACCCTTCCCTGGTCCTCCATACTTTCAGGTGGCCCCAACATCAGAGCATTCAGAAATACTTTGGCTCCTATGAGGCTTGTGTTCACACCAAAACCTCATGCACTAAGCCTCTAGGCCTCCTCCAACCGCTACAGACGCCAAGCCAGCCCTGGAACATGGTGTCTTGATTTTATTACCGATCTGCCTCCCACCTTAGGGCACTCAAGCATCCTGCTGGCAGTGGACCTCCTCACCAGGATAGCCCATCCCCTGCCCTCAGACAGCCTGACTATTCTTAGAAAAAAATCTTTCAGTTTCATGGTCTTCCCGGGGGCATTGTCTCAGACTGCAGCCCACAATTAGTTTCCCACTTCTGGAAAGAGCTCTTAAAACTTAAAAATCAAACCTCTAGCCTCATCTGCACATCACCTGCAAACTGACAGGCAAACAGAATGGATCAGTCAGACACTCGAACAATGTCTCCAACACTTTTTGAATTATCACCAGGACAACTGGGTCTCCATACTCCACTTGTGGAATTCACATATAATAACTCTGAACATGCCTCCACTGACCACTCTCCTTTTCTTTTGAATTATGGGGCACTTTTACATGTGTTCCAGGAATGTGAGAAGGGAGCTTTAATTAGAGCAGCTCCCAGAGTCACTCTAATTAAAGCACCTCAGCATCTTGTGTATCAGTATCCCCGTGCTTCAGAATCATGGTGGGGGCGCTTTAACTAAAGCTCGTCAAATGGGCTTTAGTTAAAGCACCCCTGCTGCCATTTTGAAGCACAGGGATGGTGATACACTACATGCAGAGGCTGGCTGGAGTGCGCGAATTAGCATGCTCCAGCAGACTTGATTAATTAAGTCTGCTCTGACATGCTGGAATTACAGTGTGTGGAAGCAGCCTCCTGGCACATCTGCAGGCACCCATGGTTTCCATCCCCACATTCATCTCTTGTCCTCTCAGACCTTTTACACGCCAGCTGCAGTCTGTCTGGTCAGTCATTTTCACCAGGTCCAGCAAGAGCTAAAGAAACATCTAGAACTTGCCAAGGAGACTTACAAGAGCTTCACAGATAAGAATCGTCAAGAAGCACTGGCCTTCTTAGTGGGGGAAAAGGTTTGGCATCCACCTCTGCATGTCCATCTGCCAAACTGAACTTCCAATACTTGGGCCCCTTCTCAATCATTGCAAAGATGAATTCAGTCACCTACAGATTAAAGCTCTCCAGAACCATGAAAATGGTCTTTCACGTCTCCCTGCTGAAGCCGCATAAGGAGAACCCATTTCCAAGCCGAGCACCAAGCCTTCACCAGCCATGCAGATCCAAGGTCAAGATGAATTTTTGTTCAACAGATTCTAGACTCCAAGATGATTGGGGGAAATTACACTGTCGAATGGACCGTGAAGGGGACAGTCTGCAGGAACGTTCCTGGGAATCAATGAACAATGTCCATGTGCTGGACTTTGTAAAAGACTTCCGTCAGGCTCATCCTAAAAAATTCGGAGAACAGGATAGCATATGGAGGGGTTTGGGCATTTATTGTTGTATTTATGTGTAAGAGAAAAAGCAGAAACAACTAAGAAGCACCACATATTGAGAAGTCCTGGAAAATCATAATAGTAGGAAAAAGCCAGTTGAGTTAAGTGTTACCTGAAAGAAGAATAGCACAGTGAAAAAATACACTCCCTCCTGCTGTTTAAGTCCTGTGTTTTGAGAAATAGGCCTTTGTTAATAAACAGGATTACACCAAAGGAACAGCAGGCTTCATCATAAATGTCTCCTTTTAATGGAAACACCCCCCTGAGCTAATTACTCAGATCAAGAAAGTAGAGCAGCACTTTTAGAGTAACATGTTCTGACTGCAAGAACAGGCCATACAGCACACGGTGCGGGCGTTGTCCTGTTCCAGCAGCATCTTTCAGCACCATGGTCATTTCACCTCCTTGGATGAGGCCATCGGCATCGATACCTCTTGTGCAGATGAACTGCACAAGAGGCAGGAGATGTCTGTAAGACACCCTGTTGCGGTTAATGCGCTGGTGAAATCTGACATTATGGAATTAGCTCTGGGTTATTTTACTGCTGGAACATGCCATGTAGCCTTCTCAGACAGGCTTATTTGTTGCATCATGGGACAGTGCATCCAGGACTACCAGGAAAACTTTAAGCCTGCCATAATTAGGGAGGCTACTGATATGTTGTGAGTTCAGCAACAACAGTCTGGACACTCCTAGGTTGAACTAACAGTTGTTTATTATTACTTCATAGATTTCATAGACATTAGGGCTGGAAGAGACCTTGGAAAATCATCGAGTCCAGCCCCCTGCCCTAGGGGCAGGAAGTCAGCTGGTGTCAAAGAATCCCAGCAAGATAAACGTTCAAATGTTTCTTAAAGGAGTCCAGAGTAGGTGCTTGCACTACCTCTGGAGTCAGTCTATTCCAGGCCTTGGGGGCTTGGACGGTAAAGAAGTTTTTCCTTATGTCCAGCCTGAAATGTTCTTGGAGGAGTTTGTGAATGTTTGACCTTGTCATCCCTTGGGGAGCTCTGATGAACAGGCGTTCCCCTAGATCCTGATGTACCCCCCTTATATACTTATAGGCAGCCACCAGGTCCCCCCTGAACCTGCGCTTTTCCAGGCTGAAGAGTCCCATGACTCTCAGTCTCTCATCATAGGGCCTGTTCTCCTGCCCTCTGATCATGTGCGTGGCTCTCTTCTGGACTCTCTCAAGCTTTTCCACATCCTTTTTAAATTGTGGAGCCCAGAACTGGATACAGTACTCCAGCTGCGGCCTCACCAAGGCTGAGTACAGCGGGAGGGTGACATCCTGGGATTTGCTTGAGAAGCATCTATGGATGCAAGCCAGAGTTTTGCTCGCTTTACCAGCTGTGACATTACTTTGGTGGCTCATATTCATCTTGTGGTCAATCATGATCCCCAAGTCCCTTTTGGCCGTGGTGCTAGCAAGCGTGCTGCAGGTTTTTTTTCCCCAAGATGGAGTACCTTGCATTTTT